GGTTTCGGGTTTCGGGTTTAGGGTTTAGGGTTTAGGGTTAGGGGCTTGGGCCAGGGTCTCGACTTCAGCTAGGGTGTCGGGTTTTGGCTGTCAGGGCCCTCTCCATGCAATTGCAGGTGTACTCCGGAGGAGTACATCCAAGTGCGGTACCGGAATGGCCGGGGCCATAGCTGCCGCTCATTCTTAGTAGCTGAGTGAGCACACTTTACACTTTTTGGGAACCCTAAACCCTAAACCCTACATCCTACACCCTAAACCAGTACTACAATCCCCTATAGAACTGAAAGTGTACATTTTTGCGGGGCTTAGGAACTCAGCAACTAAGCATTCGGATTCTCCTTCTCTGGCCCCAAGGAGTTTAAGCAATGCCTGGCGTATCTCTCTTTTTGGGGTTTCTTGTTGGTGTTCCGTTTCCCAAAACTTTCCATTGTAAAAGTTTTCCGCCACCCTAAACCCTAAACCCTAAACCCTAAAAGTTTAACCCTGATTGGGTAGAGGCTCTGACCTGCCCTCAACTGCCCAGGGAGCCCCCTGCCCCCTCGAGGAAAAGGGTTTAGGGTTCAGGGGGGTTTAGGGTTTAGGGTTTGGGGTTTAGGGTTTAGGGTTTAGGGCTTGGGGTTTAGGGTTTAGGGTTTGGGGGTTTAGGGTTTAGGGCTTGGGGTTTAGGGTTTAGGGTTTGGGGTTTAGTGTTTAGGGTTTAGGGTTTAGGGTTTAGGGCCACCCTTTAGTTCTGGGTATACCCTAAGCCCAAATCCCTGAACCACATAAAGGTTGGTGGAGTTGGGCCCCTCCCTGTGGCTTCACCAAGGCAAGCCATCAAAGGAGCTGGGCCCTGGTCCCCTAAGCCTTGTTCGAGTTGAGGGTTTTTGGGGTTTAGGGTTTAGGCACCCCGAAGTACCCTGAATGCGAGGCAGCAATGAGCTAGTTCTCATCACAAAGCCTAAGCCCTTCATGCGAAAAAGCTCACCTGCAGCAAGGCTACGACGAGGAGCTGCAAAGAAGGCCAGCCACAGTTCCACAAGCCCTACTTGGAGGTTCAAGGTACTTATTAACCAAGTATAACTGCACTTGCAAGTGTACTTGAAGCCATATTAGGGCACTTCAGGGGCTTATAAGCGGGTTACTGGTTAATAAGTACCATGAACCTCCAAGTAGATGCAACTGATCCTGCGTCCTCGTTATGCTATCTTATACCAGGACCATCTCAAGCCCCAGTCCCAGAGCAAAACATAAACCCTAAGCCCTAGGCCCTAGGAAGCCCTAAGCCCAAAAACCCTGAATCATAAGCCTTAAGCCCCAAGCCCTAGGAAGCCCTAAGACCTAAAGCCTAAACCCAGACACACAAGGCCGAACGCCTTTCTTGTTGGGGTTGCAACGACGTCTTCCTGGAGACTGTATACCCTGTTGTTTGTTTAGGGTTTGGGGTTTAGGGTTTAGGGTTTAGGGTTTAGGGCTTAGGGTTTAGGGTTTAGGGTTTATCCTGCTTTCTGAACCTTGAACTGTCAGCTGAGAGCCTGGCAGGCTCCTGGCCCCTCCGGAGGAGAAAGAGGCGGGTCGATGGCAGTATCCTTAGGAAGTCATCGTAATAATGCCCTAGGGTTTAGGGTTTAGGGCTTAGGGCTTAGGGCTAAGAACGAATTTGGGGAATGATAGACCACATAGTGAGAGTATTGCTCCGGGTTGATGTTTTCGGGTTTGTGTCTTAACTTAGCCCTTAGACGAGGACTAGGTAGCCTACAAGGGTCTGGGGAGTACAGGGTTGCCGTTCACGAGCTTCAACAAAGTGACTATACTGCGGATACATAAAGTGGAAAAGCTGATATTCTGAACGGCAGCCCAGAAAAGGTAGCGTTTAGCATTTAAGGCATATAGCGCGTGGTATAGGATTCAGGTTTAGTTAGGATTTTGTTTGCGTTTAGCCTGTAGAGGTTTAGGGCCTCTTAGAAGCTGCATTTTTGCAGTCACAGACATTCCTTTGTCACACTGGGGGCCCCATACAATGAGGCATCAGCCCTGAACCTTAAATCCCCCGCACCAAGAAAAGCCCACGAACCCCTAAACCCTAAACCCTAAACCCTAAAACCCTAAACCCTAAACCCTAAACCCTAAACCCTAAACCCTAAACCCAAAACCCTAAAACCCTAAAACCCTAAACTCTAAACCCCAAACCCCAAACCCTAAACCCTAAACCCTAAATCCCAAGCCCGAAAACTCTAAACGCAGAGAGGCTGCCCTGCTAAAACGGCTGGGCGCCAAGTTCGGCCGGGCACCGAGGATTTTGATGTCCTGAATCCTCAGGGGAGCGAGAGCTTAGGGTTTAGGGTTTAGGGTTTAGGGTTTAGGGCTTAGGGATTAGGGTTAGGGTTTAGGGTTTAGGGTTTAGGGTTTAGGGTTTAATTCAGGCTCCAAAGCTCCGAGAGCTCACAGTTTTGGTTTGGACCAAACCATATAAGGTTTTGTTGCGACTTTGAGCACAAGGGAAAGGATTCGGAGGATTGAGACTTCGGCGGGTCTTACTTTGGGAACGGGGGTTCATGTGGGTACTTACTACCCTAAGCCCCAACCACCATGAGACAGTCAACACCTGTTTGGCGCTGGTTGTTTCCAGTGGAACCTTTCTATCTGCTCCCTGCAGGTAAGTATGGGAAGCAGGTGGAGGCCTTCTTCCCCGCAGATTTCGTGCTTGCTTGCAATTGAAGTTGAGGCCTATATTTATACATGGCCTTGCAGCTACTAAAAAGGAGCCCCTTCAAGGCCCAAGACCTGTACATAAGTCACATACACACACTATATACGTACATTCGCAGTGAACATAGGGTTCCTTCCAAATATTGGCTCGGAACCGAAGCCCAATGTTCCAAGTAGTTGGAATGCAGGGATGTCTACGTGCACTGGGTGTCCTTGTGGGGATGTGAGTAGTCAAACCCTACTTCTTGTAAGCCTTTCAGCTCTGAAGCCGAAACAAACCTTAGACCTATAAACACCCTGCGTCATATAGGTACGCGGACCCTCTCTAAACGCCCTGCACCCCCTGCGAGCCCGAGAGGAACAATGCTAATTCTCGCAGCATAAAGGTTCCTGAACGAGAATCCAGCTCCATGGTTGTTGAAGACATGTGGGGGTTTGCGGACATAGGGGACCCCAAAATACACCTCCAAATAGTAGGATCCTCCTTCTAATGAGGACCCCAATCAGGTACCCCTACTATCGTAACTCCCCGTGTGTTCCAAGCAACGACATCCTAAACATCGCCAGCATTCCAGGCAGTCATCTCGCGGTGCAAGCGGCGGAACGACTGGAGATACGAGGCTGCATCAGGGAACTAGGCATTGCGAAAAAACCTCTAACCTATCACACCCTGTGGGGCCCTGGCCGTAAGCCGCGCAGGCCTACACCCATCAGAGTCTTATCCCTAAACCCTAAACCCTAAATTATAGCCGGAGACAGGCTTCGCAAGCCTGAAGCATGAACCCTCCCCGAAAAGAAGAAACCACTAAACAGACGCACACCCCTACCAAGGTTGAGGGTTTAGGGTTTAGGGAATCGTTTACTTGGAGGTTCATTGGGTACTTATGCGTATGGGGTTCTAGAAGCCCCCCTAAATAAGGTTGCTACCATGGTTGCCCTACTTCTAGCCCTACTTCGAAGTACTCAAGAACCTTAAACCCTAAACCCTAAACCCTAAACCCTAAACCCTAAACTAAACCCTAAATCACCCCACACCACTTCGGCCCTTCTTGTGGGGAGACTTGGGGGAACCTCAAAAGCAACAGGTGAAGTGGGAAGATCTCGCGGAGAGGCAGACACCTTCCTGCAAGCAGCTTCAGGGAGGATGTGGTTGAAGGTCTCTTCCCTAAGCCGCGGTTTAGGGTTTAGGGTTTAGGGTTTAGGGTTTAGGGTTTAGGGTTTAGGGTTTAGGGTTTAGGGTTTAAGTTTAGGGTTCAGGGTTCAGGGTTCAGGGTTTAGGGTTTAGGGTTTAGGGTTTAGGGCCCGAAGCTATAACACTTAAAGCATAAAGCCTTCTCTCGGTTTCGGGGCCCCTTTGGCAGGCTGTTTGCATCCGTTCAATAAGGGGATTGCGGGGCTACAATCATATAGGCATGCCCTAAAAACCCTAACGATGAAGCCTTAAACCCTGAAACCCTGAAACCCCTAAGACCTAAGCCTTTAAATGCTGAACCTCCAAAACCCTAAATCCCGAAACCCCACAACAATGAGGTGGTTTTTTTGTTGGCAAGGATTCCCCTTTGCCCCTGGTACATCCCTTTACTAGTTCCCCCTAAGCTCTCCATGTCTTTTCCGAGGAACACCTTTGAAAGTGCCGCCAAGCTGCGACAGCTCGGCGTGGAAAGGCTGCCCGCTGGGAACTGGCACTGCCTTGACGCCGGTTCAGGTCCTGAACCCCTCGTTTGATGTAGCAGTGATAGGTAGGGGTTTCCGAAAATTCGGTGTACCCTTATTGGGGTCGGAATTACGAGGGGGGTCCTACTATTTGGGGGGGGGGGGGGGGGGGTTATTCTATATTCGGGGTCCCCTATTTTCGTAAACCCCCACATGCAGGGTCAGGCGATCGTTTTGCAGAAGTGATCCTGTGGGGTGGTTAAGGGCTGAGTTGGGATGTTACCCCCCTTATACTAACAGTCCTCAATAGGGATTATAGTACCCCCTAAACCCTAAAACCTAAACCCTAAACCCTAAACCTATAGTCCCTTTGAAGGACTGTTAGACTAAGAAGGAACATCCCAAGGGCTGAGTGTTTGGAGGCGGGGGTGGGGGATTCGGGCTGGACAGGTCCTGAAGCTTCACTGTTCGCAGAATGCACGCCTCACGCCTCGGTACGCCAGAGTTTCAGTGTTTGGGGTTCCCACCCCCCCCCCCCCCCCCCCCCCCCCAACAAAAAAAAAAACCTGAACCCCTCATCCTCAACCCTAAACCCTAAACCCTAAACCCGAATGAAGCCCCTCAACCCCAAACCCTTTCTTACCCCAAAGGAGGGGGGGCGGGGGGATCAGAGTCGAGGCTCGCAACTGCCCTGGACGAGCGTTTGGCCGTCGGCACGACGGAAGCAGCCGCGGCCTCGGCCTTGTTCTTATTGGGGTCCTTTTTGGGGGTTTAGGGTTTAGGGTTTAGGGTTTAGGGTTTAGTGTTTAGGGTTTCGGGTTTAGGGTTTAGGGCTACTAGGACCGGGAGTAGGCCCTTTTTTCCTTTCTTCAGGGTTGGGGTTCCCTTCTAGTCTCCTTAAAACCAAAAAGGGCACCCCGTTTATTCCTGGGTTACTCCCGGGTCTAGATAAGGAGATCCTACTATATAGGGGGTCGATTTAGGGTCACCTTTTTTCGTCAACCCCCCTCATGATTTCAGGCTTAGGATTTGCGATTTCCGGGTTCATGATTTGGGGATTGCGGCTTCGGGTTTCGGTCTTTTGGGGGTTTTGGTCTTTTGGGGGTTCGGGTTTACTGCTTGGGGTTCAGGATTGCGGGTGTAGGGCTCTATAAACCCTAAACCCTAAACCAATCGAAGTTTAGGGTTTAGAGTTCCAGAGTGTAACTACCATCATCCGAACCCTAAGCAGAAAGCGCAATGTTTCTTGACAGTGACTCCAGCACAATCAAGCCCCCAGTTTTGGAAAAGGAGCGAATCTAATGCCCTCAACTTGTAGGTTCAGCGCTTTAGGCTTGGTAGCCCAGTGCTACCCTTTTCCCCTTTTCTGGGTTCAAGGTTGCCTTATACAGAAACCCGTCCAAATTAGGGGTGCCCTTGCTGTAATATGTTTACTGGGCTACCAGGTAGGTTTCAGTGTGCAGGGTACAGGTTCAGGGTGCAAGCTTCAGGCTTTTCATCCAGGAACCCCAATTACTACCCAGACTATCCTCGCGCTAAGCCCAAGACTCTATTTCATATGAAAACCCCTAAACCCTAAATCCTAAATCTCAAACCCTAAACCCTAAACCCTAAACCCTAAAACCTGCGATACCCAGTCGAATTGAGCACCCTAAACTCCGAACCCCTACGCCCCTTCTTATGGGGTGTCCGGTTGCCAGCATGGGCCAAGCTCACACCCCTGAACCTCGCCAGGGTTGGGGGTTTATCGGCCACACAAGCTCCAACCACATCTGGTTTATCGGCCACACAAGCTCCAACCACATCTAACCCTCGAAGAACCCCCCTAGCCCCTAAAGCCCAACAAGTTTGGGTTTTAGGGTTCAGGGCTGAGGGCTTAGAGGGCTTAGAGGGCTTAGGGGAGGGACTTTTGCAGAATTCTGACAGGAGGATCGCCCTCTCACGCGCCGTGAGATCGTGAGGCCATTCAGGGTTTTACAGGGTTTAAGGGTATTTACCTAAACCCTAAATCCTAAACCCTAAACCCTACACCCTAAACCCTAAACCCTAAACCCTGGGCTTCAAAGTGGTCCGGTGAAGGTTTTCGGGGCTTGGGTTTTTTTCTTGCTGCAGCCCAGGCTGCGGAGTGAGCCTTCAGTCCTTCAGTGTCGCAGTCTGACTTGCCCTTTATGCCCTCTTTTAAGGGCTTAGGCCCTAGGCTCTTTTGCAAACCCCTTTAAGCCTAAAAACAAGGTGCCGTGGTTTTTTTTTGCTGTCTCTAGGTTACTCTTGGCTCTTGTTTGGGATACTTTGAGTACTTGGCATGGTTGCCAAGGCGCCGGGAGAAGCTGGGGCAAGAACTGCCCCCTGGTTCTTAGTAGGGAATGAGGGAATTAAGGCCCCAAAAAAACCCTTTGAGGGAGTATGTGGGTACCTCATTCCCCCATTCCCTACTAAGAACCAGCCAGACTACTTGGAGGTTCAGGGTACCTATAAGCCAATCAAGAGTGTAGTTATAGCCCACCTACAATGCCCCCTAAGGATCCTAATAGGGTTATAGTTGGGTTAGAAGTAAAGTTATAATTGGGCTACCAACTACCATTGAAGGTTCAAGTACGAACCAGCCAGACTACTGGGAAGGTGCTGGCCGGAACCGTGGATCTTAGGCACCTGCGCCCCAAAGGCCGGGGCAAAGGGCAGGAACCTGCCCAGGATCTCACATCGGCACTGCGGGAGTGTCGTTCAGAGATGGAGGAGTCTAGGGTTTAGGGTTTAGGGTTTAGGGTTTAGGGTACTTAATGCTGAGGGCTTAGGGTTCAGGGTTTTGGGGCGCGCCTGGAGGGCCTGGACGTGTCCCCGAAACGCCACATGGAGAATGCAGGTCTGTAGAAGCTTGTAAGGTTTAGGTTGGGATGTTCCCCCTTATGCTAACAGTCCCTAATAGGGATTCTTCTAGGAGGGTGTACTATAATCCCCATTAGGGACTGCTAGCTTTGGCGAAGGAGGGAATTGATGGTTGAGTGATGGGTACATGCACACCAGGATGAACCGTTATGAGCCCTCATAATCTAAGAAATAGTCAACACACCCCTAGGGCAGACCCCTTAAAGGAAATCAAGGGGTACGGTAGACTCCTCCCTTAGACTCCCTTTGTATTCTACTTTCAAAGTTTAAGGGGTACGGGTTTGGTGTATGGTGAGTTATTCTTAGATATAAGCCCTAATCCCTTGTCTCTTAGAACACCTACACCCCTGTAAGCGCTTGCAACCCAACGCCTGGCTAAGCTCTTGTAACCCCTACACCCCTATAGAAACGGGAAGCTACATGGTCCCTTGATATAGACCCTTCTTTAGAGGGTTCTGAGGTATGGGCCCTTGGGTTGTACAGGGTAGAACAGGGGTATATAAGGGGTCGCCATTTAAGGGACCATGTAACTATCCTTAGAAAGAGGCAGTTATGAGTTCTTACAACCCTCAACCCGAACCCTAAAACCTAACCCTAAACCCTAAACCCTAAACCCTAGACCCCTAAACCCTAAACCCTAAACCCTAAACCCTAAACCCTAAACCCTAAACCCTAAACCCTAAACCCTAAACCCTAAACCCTAAACCCTAAACCCTAAACCTAACCCTAAACCCTAAACCCTAAACCCTAAACCCTAAACCCTAAACCCTAAACCCTAAACCCTAAACCCTAAACCCTAAACCCTAAACCCTAGACCCCGAACCCTAAACCCTAAACCCTAAACCCTAAATCCTAAACCCCACACCCTAAACCCTAAACCCCTGCGTCTTGAGGCATCTGGAAGGCTTCGGTCTGACTGAGGAGCTGATCACACGCCGGGCAATTGGCGGCTCGTCTTCCGCTTGGAGACTTGGGTACTTCTTATAAGTCGGGTGATACGTACCCTAGGGTTTCGAGTTTAGGGTTTAGGGTTAGGGTTTAGGGTTTAGGGTTTTTAGGGTTTAGGGTTTAGGGTTTCGGGTTTAGGGTTTAGGGCCTAGGGTTTAGGGTTTAGGGTTTAGGGTTTAGGGTTTATTATAACCATAGTTACCCAACAAACACCCCACTTCACTTCTAAGACCCACGAACCTCTAAGCAAGGGCATGTGGGCAGTTGCTCTAGCTGTGGTGGTCCCTTTTCGCGGGGGGGGGGGGGGGGGGTTGGTTGTCCTCGAGAAAGGGCTCCGCATTGTGGCAGCCTAGAAAGGATCCCAATTTCGAGAGCTGTATCTACAACTACACCGTGGGCGGCTGCCCCTTTCGTCTTGGGTTCCGTGTGAGAGTACCAAATGGCAGAGGGCGCATGTGTAGCACCATCATGGAATAGGTATCAAAGTCACTATTTTGCATGGTATCCCGAGAACCCGAGTCCACAAAAGCACTGAATAGGGTTGTAAGGTTACAGCCGTTGTCGCCATAGGTACCCTACTTCTAACCCTGCTTATAAGTAAGCATGAGCCTTCAAGTAGTGAGTCCCGCCGTGCACCAAATCCTGGTCAGGTCACCATGAGTCCTGCCGCAGCATTTGCTGTGTCAAGATCTTCTCGCGTTAGGAAGCACGTGGCCCGGAGAATGCGAGCTGATGTCTAGCATCGATGTCTGTTATTGCATGAACCTGCCGCATCGAAATGTGCTCTGCAGACCCCTTGTAAAACAATCATGGACCAGAGCTCCATCAAGTGCATCCCCTCAACCCAAAACCCCAAAACCCTGAACCCCTAAACCCAAAACCCAAAACCCTACACCCTAAACCCTACACCCTACACCCTGAACTCTAACCTACAAGTGGCCTTCCACGGGCTGCGCCACCGCGCTGGCTGGGCGCGGCGTGACAGCCTCCGGCTTCACACATGGCGCCATGTCCAACAGGGTTAGGGGTTAGGGTTTAGGGTGTAGGATTTAGGGTTTAAGGTTTAGGGATTTGAGTTTCGAGTTTATGGGAGTGAAGTCCTGAAGCCTCTAAAGCCTGAACGCTCTCCACCGCAATGTATCCCCTAAACCTCCAGGGTGCCGACATATACAGGATCTGCCCGGTGTGCTTGCCCAGACCCCTGGATGGACCATCTTAAGGGTTCCTCATTTTAAACCCTAAACACTAAACCCTAATCCCTAAACCCTAAACCCTCTGACTGCAATAGTATTATACATAGGGTACTATTTGGGTGCTCTACTTTTTGGATGCTCCCAAGGGTCTGGGTGGCTGGTGGTCTGACGAGTGCACGTGCATGTCACATGCCAGATCCCAATCATAGTCCAAGACTGGGGCAACTGGAGGCGTTAGGGATTCTTTGCACATGAGCCCCGCTCACATTCAATCAACAAAATGCCTGAAAAAAAGCAAAAAGGTACTGTAGAAGCCCCCCGAAAAGTACCCTATACTACTATTGGGGTCATCTACTTTTAGGAGGGGGGTCTGGGTTTGGGCCAGAGGCGGCCTGCCTCTCGAGTGGTCGCCTGGCCACCCATGCAACTTGGTTTGTGAGATGTTCTTCACTTGGAGGTTCAGGGGTACTTTCTAGTAGGGCACTTCTCAGAAGGAGTAGGGTACAAGTAGGGTAACTATGCTTAAGGCATGTTTTAGGATACTTATTACCCTACATATAAGTACCCATGAACCTTCAAGCAGAGTTTCGAATTGTGTGCGAGAGAGACCGAGCCAGTGTGTGGCGCACACGCGTTCGCCCGCTCGCTCGCTCGTTGTTCCTTCGTGGGAAGTTGGAAGCCCCAAGGCCTCCGCAGAGTCCGAAACCCCAAACCCTCTAAAGTGTCATGTCCTACAGCCTCCAAAAACCCGAAGTCCCCCAAGCCCTAAACTTTCCGAACCCCCTAAGCCCTAAACCCTAAACTCCCTAAACCCTAAACCCCAAACCCCAAACCCTAAACCCCAAACCCCAAACCCTAAACCCTAAACCCTCAACCCTCAACCTCTGAAGGCCTTGGCATGGGCCTTGGCCCTGGCTGCGCACGGGGAGTCACCAGCTAGCTGCCTTTCGACCTCTGCGGAGTGCCTTGGGGGGATGAGGGTTGTTTTTGGGTTTGGGGTTTAGGGTTTAGGGTTTAGGCTTTAGGGTTTAGGGTTTAGGGTTTAGGGTTTAGGGCAGGTTGAGGGTTGAGGATTGAGGGTTGAGGGTTGTTTTTGGGTTTTAGGGTTCAGGGTGTAGGGTTTGGGGTTTAGGGTTAGGGTTAGGGTTTAGGGTTTAGGGTGGTTGTTTTTCGTTGTTGTTTTTTCTTGTGGAGGGGTGGATCAACGGTCGAGAGTGGACAGGGGTGGTGCTGGCGTTACGGTTGAAGGTTTAGGCGCTGCAGGGTGTGGCGTCAGAGTGAGGCTATGAGCGTTGGCGTAGTGTGAGTTTCAGAGAAGTACTTTTCAAACTCTAAACCCTAAACCCTAAACCCTAAACCCTATGTGTTGCTCCTGGTTGGCTTACATCTCTGCTTCTCAGCACTGCTTCCAGAAGGCTTGGAGCCCTCAAATCCCTAAACCCTAAACCCTAAACCCTAAACCCCGAACCCTAAACCCTAAACCCTAAACCCTAAACCCTGAACCCTGAACCCTGAACCCTGAACCCTGAACCCTAAACCCTAAACCCTAAACCTTAAACCCTAAACCCTAAACCCCAACCCAGCTCCAAGATTCAAGGTACAGCTGCATCGCCAACACGTGCCTCGGCCCGATTGTGTGCAGTTCTTTAGATTGTCGGATTTAGGGTTTAGGGGGGTTTAGGGGTTTAGGGTCTAGGGTTTAGGGTTTAGAGTTTAGGGTTTAGGGTTTAGGGTTTAGTTAGGGTGTTGGAGTGTCTTACTCTTTAGCGTGCCTTTCTTCTGGTGGAAGCTACAATGACACAGAGACGTACGTCTAGGGCACACAAAGAAGGCAAAGGAGCTGCACGTGTTGCTCCGCCAACATCCCAAAAACATCATAAGCCCTCAACCCCTTCGCCCAAAAAGAAACGTGCTCAGGCTCAGGGTCGAGGACCCTAAAACCCTAAAACCCTAAAACCCTAAAACCCTAAAACCCTAAAACCCTAAACCCTGAAAACCCTAAAACCCTAAAACCCTAAAACCCTAAAACCCTAAACCCTAGAACCCTAGAACCCTAAAACCCTAAAACCCTAAACCCCTAAAACCCTAAACCCCTAAACCCTCAAGCCCTCAACCCTAAATCTTTCTACACCCTTGAAGTAGATTGCAAGGCAGGCTCCCAATCTTTGCGACGAAGCCTGCCATCAGCTGGGTTTAGGGTTTAGGGTTTAGGGTTTAGGGTTTAGGGTTTAGGGTTTAGGGTTTAGGGTTTAGGGTTTAGAGTTTAGGGTTTAGGGTTTAGGGTTTAGGGTTTAGGGTTTAGGGTTTAGGGTTTAGGCCCTCAGGGTTTGAGGGTTTAGGGTAGCATGGAAACCCTAAAGCCCTAGAGTCCAGACCCTTGAAAACCTTGCCAAATTCTGCAAAGCCCTGCTGTTCCTTAACCCCTGCACCCTAAGCCCTAAACCCTAAACCCTAGTAGTCCTTAAACACTAAGCCCTAAACCCTAAACCCTAAACCCTAAACCCTAAACCCTAAACCCTAAACCCGAGTAGTCCTTAAACACCAAGCCCTAAACCCTAAACCCGAAACCCTAAACCCTAAGTCGGTCAGGTCTTGTGGCAACGAGGCCATGGCCACACATCTTGGGCCAATGTCCCTGGAGGCCCCTTCCAAAAATCGGATCCAAGGTTTAGGGTTTAGGGTTTAGGGCTCAGGGTTCAGGGTTTAGGCTTTAGGGGGTAGGGCCCACTGTTCTTGGTACCCTTTTGCCCATGTTAGGGCTTGTTTCGGGTTCAGGGCCATGCCCCATGGTGCCCATTTTTGACGATTTGAAGGTCAGGCTTGGGTGGGGGCTTCTAATGTTTTTCTTAGCTTTCAAGTCCCCTCTAAGGGTACTTTCATGCGCCCTTAATACCCTTACCTCCTTTATAGGGTTCTGATGTATTGGCCCTTGCTTTGTAAAGGGTATATAAGGGGTATATAGCGGGTACCCTTGTAAGGGACCTTGTAACTGCCCTTAGATCCCCGGCTTGGGCCAACAGTCCTTCTGGGCCTCCCGAAACCCTAAACCCTGAACCCTGAACCCTAAACCCTAAACCCTAAACCCTAAACCCTAAACCCTAAACCCTAAACCCTAAACCCTAAACCCTAAACCCTAAACCCTGTCGCAGAGGCCTGCCTGGCAGCCTGCCAGGGATTTCAGGACTGCCAGGTCATCCAGCAATCTGGCAGGGCTTAGACCCTAAACCCTAAGCCCTTTACCCTTTACCCTAAACCCTAAACCCTAAACCCTAAACCCTAAACCCTAAACCCTAAACCCTACACCCTAAACCCTAAACCCTAAACCCTAAACCCTAAACCCTAAACCCTAAGGGCTTGGGCTCCGGGCTTCAGGCAGCCAAAGCCTCCAAAAGACCCACAAGCCTAAGGGAGCTCCGCCGTGAGCCTCGGTTCAGTTTAGGGTTTAGGGTGTAGGGTGTAGGTGCAAGGGTTTAGGGTTTAGGGTTTAGGGTTTAGGGTTTAGGGTTTAGGGTTTAGGGTTTAGGGTTTAGGGTGAGCCGCAATGGGGTCCTTTGTATAAGGGGGATCCTACTACTTGGGCGTCGATTAAAGGGATCCCTTATTATCGCTAAACCCCCACATCTGGTCAATTCTCCAACTTTGGTGCGCCTTTTTGTTAGGAGCTCATGGCGTGAGGGCTTCGTTGTAGTAGTGACCCTGACAGTAAAACGGGAGCATGCTAGAGAGAATTGAACCCTAGGTCTGGTAGCTGCATGAATGAGTCGGATTGTGGTATATACTCAACTTTGAGGGTTCATGGTGAAAGGTTTGCCGGTTTGGGGTTTAGGGGATAGGGCCGGGATAGGGCCGTTCAGGGCTTGACTTCATTGCCACCCAGGTACCACTGCAACACTTTTTGCCTTCTGCTGCGCGACTGCGGCACCCATGCAGACACCGCCTGTGGCGGCAGCCTGTACCTGCGAAACCTGGACCGCGCTCCCGGGACGGCCCTGACCACAGAGTCAGTGGACCTGAGCAAGTGCTACGAGGGTTGCTAGGCCAAGAGCTGGTAAGATGTTGAAGCACATGGTTTGAGGTCATTCTTCAGAACCGCCTTGTACAAAACAGTTCTCATACCTGCCCGCCCCAGAACTCACTCCTGGCCCAGGCTATGCTGGCGATGGCCAGGTTCTGGATGACTTCACCTGCACCGAGGCTTCGTACTGCGCGGACAAGGGCTGGGGCGTGAAGGACCACCACGGAATGTCTCTGCTTCGCTGTTCGGCTCTCTGCCGCGCGACGAACTGCCAAGCATTCCAGTTTGGTTGCAGCAACTCCTGCACACTCTTCCCGACCATCACCGACTGCACCGTGAAAGGCCCCAGCACTTGCAGCAGCATTTACTGGAGGCGGCTTGGCCGCCGATTCGGCAACCTTTCTTTACTAAACATGCTTCATCTTTTGGGGCTAGTAGACGAAACCCCAAACCCCAAACCCGAAACCCTAAACCCTACCCCTGTCGGTTGATCTGATTTTTGTAACTTTGTAATCAGTCTAACTGGACAAGTAAGGCTGCACAACCGAAGCGAGACAGAAGTGAGCCTTGCCCTGGGGAGGACAGCTGCTTACAGCCCCCAGGCCTGTTCCTTCCAGGGCTGCTGGGTCTCAGCGCAGTGCCTCGACTCAGACCTCCCAGTGCACTTGTTTTTTAGTGTCAGGAGTCCTTAATTACAGGTTAAGTGTAGGGAATTCTGTGTAAACTTGCAGCCCTAGTGCAATCCCTAAGCCCTAAGCCCCAAACTAAGACCTAGGCCCGAAGCCTTTAAACCCTGAAACCCCAAACCCCAAGCCCTAATCCCTAACCCTACCCCATGCCAAAAAGGGAGCCCCTTTTGATGCCTAAGGTGCCCCGCGAACTCAAGACCGGTGGCCTGCCAGACTCTACGGCCATGTTTAGCACCGTTTAGGTTTCAGGGTTTCGTATTTGGGGTTCAGCACAGGGCGTTTTAGGTCCCGGGGGGTTAGGGCATGGGGTTGAGGGTTGTTAGGGTTGTTGGTTGCTAGGGTACGGAGTTTAGGGTTGTCAGGGTGTTAGGGCATGGGGTTGTTAGGGTCGTTAGGGCTGTTGGGGTTGTTAGGGTTTAGGGTTGTTAGGGCTCAGGTTTTGGATCTTCTTAGGGTTGTTGATGTTGTTGGGGTTGTTAGGGTATGGGGTTTAGGATGTCTGGTGTATTTCAGATCCTCCTGCCTCAGCTGCAAGAGAGCCCCATGGCTTCCTCCTCCTTGAAGCTCTTTTGATCCAAAACACCCTAAACCCGAAACCCTAAACCCTAAACCCTAGACCCTACAGTAGAAACCCTAGACCCCCGACCCACTTTCGGATGCCCAAACCATTAACAGCCTAAAGGCCCTCGACTGAATTTTAGAGAGGATTCTTAGTATAAGGGGGAACATTCCAGTTCGTGGGTTCTTAGACGTAGGGTTGTAAGGACCCCTAAAGAAGGTTGGAACAGAAGCATAGTTGCCCTACTTAATACTTGTAAGTACCCGTGCACCAAGTTGCATGCCACAGTGCACCCTTGTTCTCCCTAATTGAGTTTTTGGTGAGTCTATGGGTGAAGAGTATAGGCGTTTGGCATTTGAGACCCCCCCCCCCCAACACAAATGGTCACTTCTCTAGAATAATTGTGGTCCCTTGTAGGGTCCTGATTACAAGGTGGCCCCTATTATTTAGGACACCCTAAACCCTAAACCCTAAACCCTAAACCCTAAACCCTAAACCCTAAACCCTAAACCCTAAACCCTAAACCCCAAAGAGGGACCCTAACTTTGAGAAGTGACCCAAATCCACACATCAAGGACCGTCCCCCCGAACTCGGGCCACGGCGTCTACTCCACCGACCAGGGCTGCGCGGCCCAAGGCCTTCTTGGGCTGGATGGTTTAGGGTTTAGGGTTTAGGGTTTAGGGTTCCCCTGAACATTGAATCAGAAATTATGCGAGCGTAGACCCCAAACTGTGAGAGATCATGTGGGCGGTTGTTCAAAATCACGAGCCCTTTGGGGTACCCTAAAATTAGGTGCCGTTTGCAATAAAAGGGATCCAAAAGGGACACTAATTTTGACAACCACCCAAGAGCCTCCCAAGGGCCAAGAGGACGTCCAAAAGATGCCAAATTATAAGTCCCGAAGTCCAAAAGCCCGTGACGGTTTCGCATTTCCTCAGCCAAGGCCTGGAAAAAAGCGACGGCAGTTCGCATTTCGCAAGTCTCTGGACACCCCACTTCGCAAGCCTAGACGTCCAAAAACGACTATCTTCGGAAACCCCCCGTATGCCCCACAGAGGTTAGGGCTCGGGGATATGGTGTTGCAACCGTCGACCCACATGGCCATGTCCCCAAATAGGGGTACCTCTAAACCCCAAACCCTACACCCTGAACCCTAAACCCTAACCCCGTAATATACCCCAAAAATACTATTATCCTTCTTGTAGGAACCCCCCCCTGGTAAAAAAGGGTACCGCCTGTTTTCGGAAACCCTGAACCCTAAACCCTAAACCCGAAACCCCCATATAGAGCATCTGTGAGGCTCAGGTGAGGCGATTCTGGCGGAGGCCATCTGCATGCAGGGCTTCAGCACAAGGCCGCCTCGATGGAACTTGGTGTTTCGTATTCACCCTAAACCCTAAACCCGGAAACCGTGAACTCAAGACCCGGGGTCTTTGAAAGACAGGGTCGCCCCGGTATCTGGGACGTGCACAGAACCCTAAAGCCCTCCATATTCTCTAGCCCTCAACCCTAAACCTACACCCCCCCCCCCCCGCCCCTAGGGTTTTGGGTTTTGGGTTTTGGGTTAGGGTTTAGGGTTTAGGGTTTAGGGTTTAGGGTTTAGGGCTTAGGGTTTAGGGTTTAGGGTTTAGGGTTTAGGGTTTAGGGTTTAGGGTATAGGGTTTAGGGTTTAGGGTTTAGGGCTTCCCCACCTTGGCCTCCCCAGCTCGGTGCGCTCCGCCTGGGGCATCGACAACATGACGCTGAGCTGTCCCAGTGGCTTCCTGCCCGTCGCTTGCACCTGGGACGCTCTAAGGGGATTTTGCAACTGAGTTTAGGGTTTAGGGTTTGGGGTTTGGGGTTTAGGGTTTAGGGTTTAGGATTTAGGGCTGCCTGCCCCCGGGGACGCTCTAAGGGCTGGTTCTTACTGGGGAATGAGGATTCAGGTACTTTTTTAATCCCTTAAAGGGTGTATATAGGGCTCGAAGGGGGTCAACTAAAGGAGGGATCCTTATAAGGGATCCTACGGGGGTCTTTGGGGCTTCTTTACGGGGTACTTAGGTATATAGTCCCCTTGTACCCCTTAATTAAGGGGATTTTGCAACTGACGTTCGGTTCTCTGCTTGATCGTGTGGGGAAGCTCTGCTTCTAGGAGCCCCGGCAGCAAGGGTACCCTTGTTTTCGGATTGAAGAAGCTGCCAAAATTATCCCTAGACCCTAAATCCTAAACCCTAAACCCTAAACCCTAAAGCAAAATACCTTAAGCCCTTTATGGGACAGAAGTCGTGTTTCGTGCTTTGGGGCACATGTAGGGCTAAGGGCTCTTGGGGATTATTGTGGTGTTAGGGTTCAGAGGCATTGGCGGTTTGGGAGTAACCCCTAAACCCAAACCTTAAACCCGAACCCCTAAAGCTTGAACAAACCTTGAACCCTAAGCGCCTCGAAGTTAGGTTGAGGGAGACCTATCAGCCAAGTAACATCTGCTTCGCCTAAACTTCGGGGGGTTTAGGGCTTAGGGTTTAGGGTTTAGGGTGCATGGTTCAGGAGGTTGGCACAGGGTAAGGGTCCCGGGGCATGTGGTCTGGGGTCATGGCAGGTCCGCTTTGCGTATTGAGGATGTCAGGTATGGGCCCCTATTCACCATTCTGAAATTAGATGTCCAAAGCTGCTATTTAGTATGTTTTGTTGGCATGGTACCTAACCCAGTACTGCAAATGCAGTTTCTGGGTGTTTCTGGTGATGCCCCTTTTCGTCAAAGGAAGTACTCTTATGAACTAGGACCCAGGACTTTGAGTTCTAAACTTATACACCCAAAACCCTTTTATTCCTAGGTTACTCTTGGGTCTTAAAAAGTACGCAAGGCATGCCGGTGGCCCATGTGAAGTAGCCTCCGTCAGAGTTTAGGGCTTGGGTTTTGGCTAGGATTGAGGGTTGGGGGTTTAGGTTTAGAGTTTAGGGTTAGAGTTTAGGGTTAGAGTTTAGGGTTTAGGGTTTCGGGTTTCGGGTTTAGGGCTTTCTGTCTGCGAGGCAACTGCCTCCAAAACAGCTGGTCCGTGGGCGAGCCGTGCACCGGGCTGAACGAATTCCCGCCGACATTTTCGGCTCCTGGGCTTATAGGGTTCTTAAGGGAGGGGCTTTCAAGGGTTTAGGGTTTAGGGTTTAGGGTTTAGGGTTTAGGGTTTAGGGTTTAGGGTTTAGGGTTTAGGGTTTAGGGTTTAGGGTTTGCTGTGATAGGGCGTGGGTGCTGTGAAGGTTAGGTTTCGGAACAAGCTCGAAAGCTTCGTGAGGTGCGAAAAGCAGCATTGGCCCGATTGTGGAGGGCCATCTAACACTTTTCTCCCACCCCACGCCGTCCAAGGCGGCAAAGCCACCCAAACTTATTCCTTTTAGGGCTTCGGCCTAAACTCAGACAACAGCCCACTTCTAAAAACTTAGGCAGTTTCAGGGAGGGTTGCAGTAAGTTTCAGAGGGGGCGGGCTCGGCCAGGCACCCAGTCAGGTGTGGGTGGGGCAGGCCTGGCGCCAGGCGGTCAGGACCCAGCAGGGCCAGAATCAGGGGGTCAGGGGGCGAGGGGGTCCTCCTTCCCTGGGGCTTTGGGGGTACCCCCTCGGCACAAGGGCTTGGGGTTTCGGGCAATTACTCTATGAAAAGGGACCAGTACTGGTTGCCGGTACCGGGCCCATCGTGGGCGCTATCGACCCCCATGCTGTGGGAGGCGGGCGAGCGACCTGGGTCGGCTTGTGCCATCGAGGTCAAAGAAAGGGCCCTGAGTTTAGGGTTTTGGGTTTAGGGCTTAATAAGGTTGATTATAGGGTTCTTAAGGGAGGATTCCCTAATACTCCGCACTACTCCCTGAGACTGCCTAAGCTTCCCCCAAGCTTCCCTAGGTACCTACCCCCCATGACACCCCCCGTCCCTTAAGGACCCGAAAACGGGTTCTCTTCCTTCCCAAACTGCTCAAGAGTTTAGCACTCATTGTAGGGTTGTTAGGGTTTAGGGTTTAGGGGTCTGAGTCTAGGCAAAATCCGATTTTCATTTCCTAGGCCACCCGCCCTCCTTTCTTGGCTCCTCCTAAACCCTAAACCCTAAACCCTAAACCCCATGCTCGCCAGGCTGATGGACATCTTGTTTGCACGCGCGACATCGACTCAGGCGGGCTGGTAGCCACGGCTTAGGGTTTATGAAGGGTTTAGGGTTTCGGGTTTATAAAGGGTTTAGGGTTTAGGGTTTAGGGTTTCGGTGATGTTTGGTCAACTCCCTGGACCCTGAGTACCCATTGATAGGAGCCTAAGTGTACCGTCCTAGGGGGAGGGGAGTATGTAGGGCATCCTAAAAGAGAACTTGGAGGGGAGTCTAGGACATGGTCCTTGGTTGAGGGTACTAGGGATAGAGTCTAGGGTTCAGGGGGTTCTGACATATCCTCATCCTCATCATCGCCACCTATCAGATTCAGAACCATGCTGTTCAGTGTCATCGTCATCACCGTGTGCTCCTCCCAATCGCCATCGCCATCCCTCCTTCTTTGCCCGCCGCCCCGCTCAACATCATCAGCATCATCAGCATCATCTGCATCAGCAGCGGAAGCCTCATCATCATAATCACCATCACCCTCACCATCATCATCATCATCATCATCATCATCATGATCGCTATTGTCTATTTGTCATGAGGTGTATGTACATTCCAAATGCACGGGCTGCTTGGAAACCCAGGTCTGGGGGCCTTTGTCCGCATGTCCTGGAACATCGGTGCTCGTATCAGCGCGATTTGCCTCCCAACGACGGGCACGGTGCTGGAGTACTCGCTGTTCAACACCCGAGACAGTCTCCTGGATTGATAATTTACCCTGAGGCCTACTTGTTGTTGAGGGAATTTGGGAATCGTAATTCCCTATTACCTTACATTCTCTTCTAGCACCAGTGAGTTAGGAAAGCATGAACAGGCTTGGCAAACCATGCCGACGATTTGTTTGGGCTTGGGTTTCACTCTGCTTATTTCAGTGCATCCAGTTCATACGACAGGTGCAGGAAGTGCCGCAGAGTCAGAGGCGCGCTACTGCGGCTGGGCCAAGACACACATCCGAAATGATGTTGACTGCAGTGCCTGGATGCGGAATCCACTTCCAGATGGAGGCTGTAATATGTCGGAGTGCCAAGGACTCGCGGACTGCGCGGAAGTCTGCACTGCTTGCAGCGTCTGCCAGGGCATCTATTTCTACTTGGGATTGGGCAATGTGGATGATGCATCCTATTCACAAAGTCCAGCTCGCTGCTACTTCCAGGGCGATACCCTGAACAACATCAACATGGCTGTAGAAGGCTATCCCTCGGTGGCAACCGCCTCCTCCCCATGGGCCGTGTACGTCAACAGCCGAGATGCCCGCTGTGGCCCGGAGCGCTTCCTGCGCGGAGTCAGCTTCTTTCAGGCTTGGTATCTCAGAGGTATCCTTTTTGCCCTTTGTGGTTTTTGGGTTTCCTTTGTAGAAGTAGGTAACAAAGCAAACAGGGTACCCTTATTATGACACTGTTCCAGCCTAGGGAAACCCTAAATCCTGAACCCTAAACCGTATACCCTAAATCCTAAACCCTAAGCCCTAAACCCCAAACCCTTATAAAGCCTAAACCCTAAACCCTAAGCAGGACAGCCTTTGCACTGAGCTGGTTGTGCCTTCGACACTGGTCGCCTCGGCATACAAGGATCCTTGGGATGGCCAACAGAACCCTTCAGGTGGGTTCATATACCCTGTACTAGGGTTTAGGGTTTAGGGTTTAGGGTTTAGGGTTTAGGGTTTGGGGTTAAGGGTTTAGGGTTTAGGGTTTAGGGTTTAGGGTTTGGGGGTTGGGGTTTGGGGTTTAGGGTGACTCCTATTCAGTTATATAAACCATAAGCCTCGTTCTGGTTCCTTCGAAACCCGACAGGATGGGACCAACTACACCCTCAGAGCTGGCTGGTGGAAGATTCCATCCAGATTCGCTCCTAGGTCGTGCTCCTCCTGTCCCGCCAAGAGTCTCCGACTCTGGGCCCTTTCTTGGGATCCTGTTAGGGGCTCTTGCAGGGTGTAAGCGTTTAGGTCGAGACCTTTTGGGGTTACTTTGTATGTCACTGTTCCCTTCTGGTCGGCTGAAAAGGGGTCATGTTCAGGATAATTCTTGAGGGTTAGGATGTTCCCCGTTATATGATCGGTCCTTAATAGGGACTCTCTTAGGGGACACTTTAATCCCCTTCAAGGACTGCTAGTATAGGGGGGGAACTTCCCAACTTGGGTGCACTTGGAGGTTCATGGGTACATATATCCCCAATTATATGTCTACATATAACCTCCCTAGGAGACTTTGGGGGCTTATAAGTACAGCTATAATTTCAAGTTATAAGTACCCATGAACCTCCAAGTAGAGAGGACCAACTCAGGAGTCACCGCTGTCTTTGACCCTCCGGTGTCCGTGCTTTGTGCCATCGTGGACAGCTCCGTGGACTTTGCCGCTGGCTGGACATTGAGCCAGGGGAGCTCCATTGACTCCGCCTTCGCGCAGTCTGTGCCTTGGGTTTAGGGTTTTGGGTTTAGGATTTTGGGTTTAGGGTTTAGGGTTTAGAGTTTAGGGTTTAGAGTTTAGGGTCTGGGGCTTGGTTTAGAGACAGCAAGAACCTTTCTTGAAGGCTCATGGATACTTAGAAGTAGGGTTATAAGTCCCCGAACTAAGGTCGCAACCATCGTTCCCCTACTTATAACTTACAACCCTACTTAGAAGTACCCATGAACCTCCAACTAAAATCCGCCCAGTAGACCTTATGCTACTACCATCCTTTTTCTGGACCAGCAGCTTTCCCAACAATCCTAAAACCTTAAACCCTAAACCCTAAACCCTCGACCCTGAACCCTAAACCCTAAACCCTAAACCCAAACTTTCTCAAAGATCCTGTTCTTAAAGATTCTGTCCGCGCCCAGGTTTCGGGATCCCTGGTTGCCTTCGGCAGTGCCCACAAAAGCAGGTCGGCTCCTGTGACCTACCGGCTCTTATTTAGGGTTTAGGGTTTAGGGTTCAGGGCTTTTGACCTACCAGCTCTTCGCAGGGAATGAAGGACTTAGAATAGGTACTTAAGGGTTATATTCATATATGTATATATATAGAGAGAGAGAGGGTGATAAACAGGTAGCCTTGGCAATCCTTTAAAGGGTCTATTTAGGGAATGAAGGACTTAGGTACACTTGTCCTCAAAAGGGCATACATACGTACATATATATATATATCACATATATATAGGTATATATACATGGGATCCTTTAGGGAATGATGAACCCTAAACCCTTTTTCTTCTACTCCATGAAATGGTATGTATAGGGGATACATAGGTACCCTTTCTTAATCCCTCTAAAAAGGGTGTATGTAAAAAAGGTATATGTCTATACATATATATATATATATGTTTCTATATATGTATATGTATGTTTTTTTTATTTATTTCTATATTTATTTAAATGCATATAGGAGGGCACCTAAGGTGCCTCTTTTTCAATCCCTTAAAGTGCATTTAGAGGGGGAACAAAAACATACATTCCCTCGTTTTTCTGGTCAAGAGCCAGTAAGGTGATGGTGCGGGGAGCCACTGCCACTCTACGTGGCTGGGTGGGACGTGGCCGATCTTTTTTCCATTTATTTTGCCACCTTGGGTGTAAGAGGACTGTAAGAACTGTAGTTGCACACTGTTTCCTCAGAGCACGCAGACACTAAACCCTGAACCCCAAACCCTAAAGCCCCAAACCCTAAAGCCCCAAACCCCAAACCCCAAACCCCAAACCCCAAACCCCAAACCCTAAACCCCAAACCCCAAACCCCAAACCCCAAACCCTAAACCCTATCATGCGGCCCACCCAAGGTGGCACCATGCTGCTGGCATGTGCCCTGAGCGTCTGCCCCAAAGACTCTAGGTCGGCCGTTTGGGACATGTCTTAGAGGGTTTAGGGTTATGGGGACACTTTACATTTTCCTTTTTTTGGGGGCTTAAGAGGATCATATCCAGGAATACTTTTCAGGAATCTTTGGGAAGATTTTCCCTTGTTGAGGCTGAAGAGGATCATATTCAGGAGCATTTTGTCAGGAAAACCCTAAACCCTAAACCCTAAACCCTAAACCCTAGTTCTCAGAGGCTTTTCAGGGCCCCTCCTAGGACTCCATCTACCTCCCGCAGCTCCTGGCGGGTGCGATGGCGTCCGTAACCTGGAGGTCAACATGAGGGGCTCTTAGGGTCTAGGGTTGAGGGTTGAGGGTTCAGGGTTGAAGGTTTAGGGTTTAGGGTTTAGGGTTTTAATTCAGGGTTGAGGAGTTTTGGTGGTTTTTGGGGAGGGGGGTGGGAGGGGGTTGGGGCTGAGGGATACGGAATGGAATTTAAGGAGGTAAGCTCCTTGGGCATTGTATGCTTCCCTGGTTGGGTTTAGGAAGATCTTGCTTGGAATCTCTTTTCGGAGGTGTTGGTGTCGATATTGTCTATCACGTACGTCTGGAGTTTCTTTGGGTAGGTCTCGTGTCTTCGTGACTCAATATGAAGATTAAAAAAACGGTTGTAGAGATCTGGCCACTTTACTTGCTGTTGGTTAGCAGGGAATGAGTGACTTAGGGCCCTACATACACCCTTTAACAGATTATATAGGGTACCTTAGAACCCTAAGCCCTTAGCCCGAAGCCCTAAGTCCTAATGCTAGCCAACAGTAAGCTTAAGGTCCTTGGACTCCGTCAGCACATGATCGACTTCCACGGCAGTCCGGTGAGATCGGAAGACGAACGCCAAGTGGCTCAGTCGTACGCCTTCGTCATGGTGGTCAAGGCTGGCTGGGAGTATTCGAGGCTTATAAGGAACATGTATCCCTAAACCTTAAACCCTAAAACCTAAACCCTAAACCCCAATAAAACCGCAAGGTACAGTAAAGCTCTAAGACTGAACTGCTCAGATTGTGGTGTCCACGCCGGCGGACGTGGGCTCCTACTTGAACGCTGCAGCGCTTCTCAAGCACATGCGCTATCACTTGGCCGTCCTCACAGAAGCACTCCAAGAGCGTCTCATCCCAAGTACAGTTTAGGGGTTAGGGTAAGTTTAGGGGTAAGGGTTTCTGCTCCCACTCTTAAGCTTCTTAGAGAGTATGCTTATGTTCTTTATTGAGGGAATCGTTTTTAATCTAGAAGTTGCGTTCCATTTGACTTGCTTCTTCTTCCTTGAGCTCCCTCCGTCTCTCTCTGCCTCTGCCTTTGGTCGCTCCATCTCTCAACCCCTGGCAAAGTTACAGCCCCTAAGCTTTCAACCCTAAACCCTGAACCCGAAATCCGAAACCCCAAACCCTACAGTAGGTTGCTTGCAACAGGACCGACGACTAACCGGAGCCTTGACTCGAAGCCAAAGCCCTACTAGAAGCCAAAAAGCCCTTCCCTAGTATAAGCCCAAAAACCCAAAGCCGTCAGACCCAAACCCTGAACCCTTCAGACCCTAAACCCTAAAGCCTAAACCTTAAACACTAAACCCTAAACCCTAGACCTTAAGCCCTAAACCCTAAACCCTAAACCCTACCCTTGAAACCACACACCCTCATCATCCTTCAACCCTGGTAAAAGCTCTCAAGCCCTTCGAAGCCTTCGACCCCTAGAAACCCTTCAAACCCTGAGCCCTCCAAGACCCTGTGCGGTTTAGGGTTCGGGGTTCAGGGTTCAGGGTTCAGGGTTTAGGGTTTAGGGTTTAGGGTTTAGGGTCCCTAAACCTCTCAAACCTTCAAGAGCGGAAGCCCGAGGCTTCACTCCCTTCCCTTCACGGTCCAGCAGCTCAGCACCTTCACAGAGCACGTCTCTGTCCCCTGGTGGCCCAGTGGTGCCCTTTGCCCCTATTTTAGGGTTTCAGATTTCCTTCTAAAGTAGCCAACCCCAAAAGGGTACCCTTATTGCCCTAAACCCTAAACCCTACACCCTAAACCCTAAACCCTGAACCCTAAACCCTGAACCCTGAACCCTAAACCCTAAACCCTAAACCCTAAACCCTACGGGAGTTTAAGGTTCCTGACTGCACTATACCGGACTAGACCAAGGTCCCCCAAGCTCTCCACGCCTTGCCAACCCTGCCGACTCCCCGGGCATCGACGACGACGCCGATCACTACGAGACCACTGCAGGACGGGTTTTGCAGGGCTGTTTAGGGTTTAGGGTTTAGGGTTTAGGGTTTAGGGTTTAGGATTACTACTATTTGCTTAAGAAAAAGAAAAAGAACAACAACAATCCTCTTTTTACCCTTACCTTTTATTCGCTTAAGATTCCCCCAGCCCTAAAGCCACGTGCTTCAGGAGTTGGCTGGTAGTCTTGCAGCTGGGCCAGCACTTGGTTTTCCAAATCCTAAACCTTCAGTCGATCACCCTGAACCAACACCTTACACAAACCTCTAAGCCGGCCCTTTTGCGTCCCCAGAGATATAGTGTCTGGCAACCGGTAGCCCGAAACCCTAAACCCTAAACCCTAAACCTTATAAGACCCGAAGCCTGCAAACTAAGAACGACCTGGGCCACAGCGCGTACTTCATCGCGCCTTGTACTTTTCAGGAGATCTCTAATGCAGGAAACACAAAAAACCCGAATAAAACAATACATAGTACTTGTAATGGAATATTCTAACCTTGTACTATAATAACGTATACGTTCTGATAGTATAGCAGCATATACCCTTATGATGGGATTCGGGTTTGGGGCTTAAGGTTTTGAGCCAGTCAACGCTCCGCTGTAGAGCGTAGGACTTTGCGAGAGCATGTCGGAACAGGGTTATAATTGGGTCGAAGTACCATGAACCTCCAAGTAGACCCTACGCCCGAAATCCTGCATTCTCAGCACTAAGCCCAAAGCCAGAGACAGTGTGTAGAGTGTTGTGCAGGGCTTGCTCAAGACCTGGAACCACGACAGGGAGTTACAACCTAAATCATAAACCCTAAACCCAAATCTCAAACCTCAAACCTCAAACCTCAAACCCTAAACCCTAAACCCTAAACCCCAAACCCCAAAACCCCAAAACCCCAAGCCCAAGCCACTACCAAGAGATGATTCCTGTGCTCATATCGCCACTCTGGGACATGAACCTCGAAGATGGTAGTGGGCTCTTGGGAGACCCCGTGGTGCCCTTTTGCGCTTTTAGGGTTTGGGGCTTTAGGGTTTAGGGTTTGGTTTAGGGTTTAGGGTTTAGGGTTTAGGGTTTAGGGTTTAGGGTTCAGGAGTCTAGGGTTCAGGAGTTTAGGGTTTAGGGTTTAGGGTTCAGGAGTCTAGGGTTCAGGAGTTTAGGGTTAGGGGGTTTAGGGCTAACCGGCTATCCTCACTGTAAAATGGCGACTGGTCTACCAAGTTTGATAGTTTTGACCTCGCGGAGGTTTGGAGTGCAGGGAGTGAAAGGGAGTGGTAGGGGTGGCGGAGGGAGAGTGTTGAGGGGGGGGGGGGGGGGGGGGGGGGAATGGATTTCCTGGGTTTGATAAGGTATCGGGTTTAGGGTTTAGGGGTCAGGGTTTAGGGTTTAGGGTTTAGAGGATTTAGGGGACTTAGTGTGTGATTTGAGCCCATAGGCCTTTGTGGGACTTATCGTCCCTATCCTCGGCTTCATCTGATCCTCGCCATTCTCGCCTTGCTGCGGTTGTACCGGCGCGTGTTTCCAGGACCTAGGGTTTAGGGTTTAGAGTTTAGGCTTTAGGGTTTAGGGTTCAGGGGTTCGGGTTTAGGGGTTTAGGGGTCTAGGGGTTTGGGGGGTTTGGGGTTTGGGGTTTTAGGGACCTTGATAGCCCAGTATTCTGCAATCAGGAACCTTAAACTCCCGTCGGGTTTAGGGTTTTAGGTTTTAGGGTTTAGGGTTTAGGGTTTAAAACGGCTCCAGGGTTTAGGGTTTAGGCTTCATGGTTCAGAGTTTAGTGGCTTAGGGGTTGAATTTAGGGTATATGGTTTAGGATTTAGGGTTTAAGTGTGTAGGGTTTATGTAAGGCTTTATTAGGGTTTTGGGTTCACGGTTTGAATATTTGCTCTTTTTTTTTTTTTGTGTGTGTGTGTCGTCATTCGCGCAGAAAGCTTCAGGTGTAGAGCCGTTCCTCTGTGATGCCCGAATCCACGCTGAACTGAAGTCTGCCATGAACTGCCCTGCATTTTAGCCTCTTCGCCCTAACTTAACCCCCGAGATCCAGGCCCCCAAATCAAAGAACCCACACTCTTGCCTAATGAGTGCTTAGGCAAAGGCTCTGAAACCAAGGAATGCAACCCCTAAACCCTAAACCCTAAACTAAACCCTAAACCCCAAACCCTAAACTCTAAACCCTAAACCCTAAAACCCTGCTCCCCCCAAGGGCCTCAAGGAGGATGGGCCCCTGGGAGCCTAAACTCGGACCCCAAAGTCCATGCCCCACCCATAGGGTTTAGGGTTTAGGTTTAGGTTTAGGGTTTAGGGTTTAGGGTTTAGGGTTTAGGGTTAGGGTTTAGGGTTTAGGGTTAGGGTTTAGGGTTTAGGGTACTTAGCAACCCATTAACCAACTATAACTGATTGGGGGCGGCAGCTGGCGTCACGGGTGAGACATGGGTTGAGTCTGCTCGCGGAGTGGCAAGATCTTTCGGTATCGAGCTTGGGAGACGCTTCCCAGCACAGTTTTTTGCAAAGGCAGATGTCAACTGTTCATCCCAAATTAGAAACGTACCTGTGTTATACCAGCAATCAGTGCGAAAAGAGCCTTTGGCAACAGGAGGCTCGCAGCAAGGGCCTAGGAACCCTCCAGCCGAGCTGCGACAAACCTTGAGCCTCACAAGGGGCACGCTTTTGGACGCCCAGACAGGCTAGGGCCTGCAAAGCTTGGTTCCTGGCACTCTTGACCCGTAGGATTTCCTAGGGGGGTGGCATAGAAGGGACACACGACCGGACTCGGACCCTTAGTAGGGATTATAATAGGAGGTACTACAATCCCAATTAAGGGACTCTTAGTATAAGAGCGCTGCTGGCTCTGCGAGAGCAGACCTCTGCGACCACCTGGAGTCGCAATGTGAAGTGGTGGCGAGGGTAAACTGCCCTCGGTGGGGTTGCCGCGTCCAGGTCTTTTCTCATTGCCCGAGGACGCACCGCGTCTTAGGAGGCGCATTGAAACCTTGGACTGCATTATTGACCGCCAAGCAGGACTATAAGACCGACTGGCCACAGCGTTGTCTTCGTGCCATCGTGCAGGCCCTGAGGCCCTGCGGGGTAGTGGCACTCACGTGGCACCAATTTGATCCGCCCCAGGATCCCTGAGCTTTGAACTTGAACTTGAACTTGAACTTCAGGGGCTTATAAGTGGGTTAGAACTACACTTGGGGGTTTCGGGTTTAGGGTTTAGGGTTTAGGGTTCTTCCCTTAACCTCCAAGCAGGACAAGTGGAGCAGACGAAGGACCCCAGGTGGCGTCGTGCTGGGCAAAGCGCTGCAGAGGCGAACTCGGGTTTCGGGTTTAGGGTTTAGGTTTATAGGTTTATAGGGTTTAGGGTCTATAAGGTCTAGAGGGTGTAGGGCTTTTAGGGTGTGTAGGGCAAATAGGGGATTTAGGGTGTTTAGGGTTTTTAGGATTCATGGGTTGTTTGGAGTTTTTTATGGGTTTCAGGTTCATAGGGTTTGCAGGGTTTTTCGGGTTTTGGGCTTGGGATGACCACAAGAAAAGCTACTCTGTGGATGTCGGGGAAAGCAAAAAACAGTGGGACTCTTTCATGAGGGGTTCCTATGATAGGTGAGTTGTGTAGTGTGGGTGCCGATTTGGGGTTTAGGGTTTAGGGTTTGGGGTTGGGGGTCAGCTTGATATGATGCCCGCTGCCAACGAGAATATGATTGTGCAAGGATCACGAAACGACGTAAAAGTCCTCTTGTCTCTGCTCGTCCTTAAAGTGAGAGGGGGGGGGGGGGGGTTCAAGGAGGGCACGTAGCCCAGGTTCCCTAACACTCCCCACTGCTCCCTAAGGCTCTCTAAGCTTCCCTAGCCCTAAACCCGAGACCCTAAACCTTGGTGAAATCTCTATTACCATGAAGAGGCTTCTGCCCCTTACAGAGCCACCAGGGTTTAGGGTTTAGGGTTAAGGGTTTAGGTTTCGGGTTTAGGGTTTAGAGTTTAGGGTTTAGGGTTTCGGGTGAAGCCTTGCACGCCAGGTCTGAGGAAGAGCGGTCGGCAGACCCCCTGTCCGAATCCGTTGCCGAGAGCCTTCCTGAGCCACTCAGCTAGCACAAGCTCGTTTGAGATCGTGGTTTACGGTGTTGGGTAGAGGGTTTCGGGTTTAGGGTAAGTTGGTAGCCAGTGGTACCCTTTTGCTCAGTTTTGGTGCAAGGTTCCCTTTTTGAAAAAAGTACCAAAATGGGTGCTGATGATGAGGTTACTGGGCTAACAGGTGGTTTGAGGTGTTGCGTTTTGGGAATGTAGGGACTCCAGTTCTTGCGCCGAGTTCCCAGGTACCTTGAATGTTTCATGTTTGAGGAAGACCCTCAAAAATGATTCGCCCACAACCCTAGACCCCAAATACTTTAAACCCAAGTGACAAGTTTAAGTTGCAATGTTATAGATTTGTTTCTTTACTACGTGCGGACGGGCCACCTTGACTTCGTTGCACGTGAGTGTCGGCTTTCGATGCTCACCGTCATGTTCCGATGTGAAATCTCCCCGCAGAAGCACCCATCAGGCTCTCAGAGCTCTTCTTGCGGGGTTGTCGGCCCGAAGACTACACCCTATAAACCCTAAACCCTAAACCCTAAAGCCTAAACACTAAACCCTAAACCCTAAACCCTAAACACCTACACTCCAGGGCATATTTGGAGCCTGACCCGGCAGGTACTGGGCTGCTGCAGGCTGCGAAGACTCCGGGCGACAAACCACATGCTTCGACGGCCTGGTCTATGCCAGGCACCTTTAGGTTCAGGGTTTAGGGTTTAGGGTTTAGGGTTTAGGGTTTAGGGTTTAGGGTTTAGGGTTTAGGGTTCGGGTTTCGGGTTTCGGGTGCCGGAAGCAAACGAAGACCCGGCACAAGCAAGCCTCAAAACGCTGCAACAAGACGCTCCCCTCAACCCCACGAAGCCCTAAGCCCACAGCGCCGGCTTTCTTCGCAAAAGTCCATGGGCCCGCCCTTACTTCTCCGACCCAAAACCCTACACCCGAAACCCCAAACCAAAGATAGCTTTGACTACCTGTCAGCATGGTACTTGCTTGTAGATCACAAAGATGCAGAGCCCAACCCTAAACCCTAAACCCTAAACCCTAAACCCTAAACCCTAAACCCTAAACCCCCAGAGGCACGAGCACTTGGACGCCTTCCAGCACCTGGTGGATTTCACATACCGCTGCCAGGCAGCAGCCAGAATTCATAGGAAGGGCGGGCCCGAGGGTTTAGGGTTTAGGGTTTAGGGTTTAGGG